TTATTTTTTATGGCCATGTAGTATTCCATGGTGTATATGTACCATTAACACATTTTCTTTATCCAATCCACCAGTGATGGGCACCTGCGTTGATTCCATGTCTTTGCTATTGTGAATAGTGCTTGCAACAAACATGAGTGCAAATATCTTTTTTTTTTTTTTTTTTTTTTTTTGAGACAGAGTCTCGCTCTGTTGCCCAGGCTGGAGTGCAGTGGCTGGATCTCAGCTCACTGCAAGCTCCACCTCCCGGGTTTACACCATTCTCCTGCCTCAGCCTCCCGAGTAGCTGGGACTACAGGTGCCCGCTACCTCGCCTGGCTAGTTTTTTGTATTTTTTTTTTAGTAGAGACGGGGTTTCACCATGTTAGCCAGGATGGTCTCGATCTCCTGACCTCACGATCTGCCCGTCTCAGTCTCCCAACGTGCTGGGATTACAGGCTTGAGCCACCACGCCTGGCCATAGTGCAAATATCTTTTGGATAGAACAATTTATTTTCTTTTGGGTATATACCTAATAATGGGATTGGTGTAGTTCTATTTTTGGAGAAATCTCCAAACTGCTTTCCTCAGGGGCGGAACTAGTTTACATTCCCATCAACAGTGTATAAGCATTCCCTTTTCTCTGCAACCCTGCCAACATCTGTTATTTTTTGACTTATTAATAATAGCCATTCTGACTGGTATGATTGCATCCCATGATGATTAATGATGTTGGGCATTTTAAAAATGTTTGGTGTCCATTTGTATGTTTTCTTTTGAGAAGTGTCTGTTCATGTCCTTTGCCTACTTTTCAGTGGGGTTATTTTTTTTTTTTTTCTTGTTGATTTAAGTTCCTTATAGATTCTGGATATTAGACATTTGTCAAATGCACTGTTTCAAGTATTTTTCCCATTCCGTAGGCTGTCTGTTTCCTCTGTTGATAGCTTCTTTTGCTATGCAGAAGCTCTTTAGTTTAATTAGGTCCCAATTGTCAATTTTTGTTTTGATTACATTTGCTTTTTTTCCACCTTGTTCTGAGACAGGGTCTCATTCTGTCGCCCAGGTCTACGATCCATTTGGGGTTAACTTTTATGTATGGTGAGGTAAGGGTTGAAGTTTATTCATTTATTTACTTTTGCATATGGCTATTGAATTGTTCTAGCACATTTTGTTAAAAAGACAATCATTTCTCCACCTACTTGTTTTACCTTTGTCAAAAATCAAATGACCTCATATGTGTGCATCTATTTCTGGACAATGTGTTCTATTTCATTGATCTGTATGTTGATCTCATCAGATTGTAAAGTCTTTGAGATATGGGGCTTATAGTAGTTTCAGATCTCCATTGCCTAGCATGGTGTTTCCTTCATCTATATGGATGTTCAATTAATATTATTTGAATGACTGAGTGAGCCAATAAAGACGCACAGAAAGTGAGGAAAAACATTCAACTTTCTGGAACACTAAAGGTCCAAGGGGTGTTCAAGAGTCACCTAACAGGCAAGGGCAAGATCAAACTATGAAAGCCACTCTGAAGGATAACTGACATATTTAGACTTTCAGAACCTGGTTCCTTGAGTTCAAGAGCTGAGTAGAAAGCTTTTGGTAAGCCAAAAAACGTCCCATTTTGACATTACCTGCCACCTATTGGTAATCTGCAATTGTCCTTGACAAAGAAATAACTTCCAGAATTTCTGATATTTTAACTCCATCCATTATAAATATATAATTTTGATTCATCTTAGCTACTTAACAGGAGGCCCTGGTTGAGAGGACTTTTGAAAGTTACTCCCACAATTTCCTATTACTGTCTAACACAAACTCTGCCTAGCCACCATCTCTTGGACGCCCCCAAACATGCCATACTTGTTCCTAATTCCCAACCTTTGTTCTTGTTCTTCTTTCCAGTGTGCCCTTTGTTCTCTGCCATTCTAAATCTGGGTCCAATCCCAGCACTTTGACAAAGACTTCTTTAGTTTTTCAGGCCCACACCTTTCTCCTTCTGACCTCTGTCTGCATGACTTAACTAATTACATAATCAGATAATCTGGTATACTCATGTTATTACTTAACAGCTTTATGTATTTTATATGCCTTGTCTTCTTAATGATACTGGAAATGACTGAAAGATAGGATTCTAGGAATGGGAGTTACATTTTGTCCTCCATAATACATAGCACGTGAAATGGTTCCCACAGAAGTTACTTACCTCTTGTTTAATTGAATTTAATAAAAATCACCCATTGGATAAATGCCTTTGAGAGTCAGTTAGACATCATTCTTTTAACACTACCATTCTAGTTAAAGGAATTATGTAGCTGATGGAAACATAGCCTTTTCTGTACCTCATGACTGATACCTTTTTTTTCTTTTTTTGAGATGGAGTCTTGCTCTGTTGCCCAGGCTGGAGTGAAGTGGCACAGTCTCCGCTCACTGCAGCCTCTGTCTCCTGGGTTCAAGCAATTCTCCTGCCTCAGCCTCCCAAGTATCTGGGACTACAGGCACCTGCCACCATGCCCAGGTAACTTTTGTATTTTTTAGTAGAGACAGGGTTTCATCATGTTGGCCAGACTGGTCTCAAACTCCTGACCTCAGGTGATCCTCCTGCCTTGGCCTCCCAAAGTGATGGGATTATAGGCATGAGCCACAGCACCCAGCCTGTTTCCTACTTTTGAAAAGAACCCTATATATGTCACCAGGTTGCCTCTCCATGCAACTTTGATAAAAATTTTTAATTGGGAAATTATAGAAGAGGATAATTATATATTAAGTTTTCAATGTAGGTCACATTGATAAGGCAGAGACAAACCTGGAATCTGTCATTTAAAGGGATTTAGTTTCAGTGAGACTTTTCATGCCACCTTGAATACACTCCTATTCATTTTCTTTATCTATTGTAAATCTAATGTTTATTAGCTCCGAACTGCATGGATTTCAGGCTTGTTTAAGCATTCTGAAAGGCCAAAATTAGTATATTAGTCCCATTGTCACTGAACTCTAAGACGGTTCTATAGAGAACTGATTATAAGAATATGTACAGTAGGTAGAAGCCAAACTGTGTTGAACTAGGGCACAGATCCAGTTGTTTCTACTTGAGCATACAAGTTGAATTAGCAGTTATTTTCATTTAATATATATATATAATATAAACTTTCCTAATTCTAAAATGATGACAATTTTCACTCCCTTTTATCCTTTTCCCCAATCTCATTCTCCTCCCCTCACATGCAATCATTCTAATGCAGCTATGTGACTGAATGTGTTCTATGTGTACTGTGTTTTGCATGTGTTATAGCATTATATATCTAATTTTATGTATTTTTCCTACACAGCACTATGTTTTAAGATCCATTCACTTGCTTTCTGGGAACATCTTGTTTACTGCTTCTAACTACTGTATATTAATCAAAATGTACCTTCACTACATTTTGCTTATCCATTCTTTCAATGATGGGAACCTCCAACTCCTTACCCACAAATAATAATGCATTTTTTAATAAAAAAAGCACTGTGCAAGAGAAGCAATACATGTGGACAGGTTGAATATAGCCTCAGACTACACGTTTATTTATAACCTCTAATGTAGACAAACTTCTTGCTCAATACCCGTGAAATCTTTTCTTCTTTCTGTTTTTGTCTTTGTTTTGTTTTGTTTTTTTTTTGAGATGGAGTCTCGTCCTGTTGCCCCAGACTGGAGTGCAGTGGCGCGTCTTGGCTGCACTGCAACCTCCACTTCCCAGGTTCAAACAATTCTCCTGCCTCAGCCTCCTGAGTAGCTGGGACTACAGGCGCCCACCACCACGCCCAGCTAATTTTTTGTATTTTTAGTAGAGACGGAGTTTCACCATGTTAGCTAGAATGGTCTCGATCTCCTGACCTCATGATCCACCCACCTCGGCCTCCCAAAGTGCTGGGATTACAGGAGTGAGCCACCATGCTCAGCCCCAATACCTGAAATTTCTTATATCCTAATTCCCAAAAAATATAGTAAAAAGAAAAAAAATCAATGAACACATTTACAGAATTCTGTCAGCCACCCAAACATGAGAGTTGTCAGTCATTACATGTGACCAAGATAACTTTATTCTAAGAGAAATGTAAAAACTACTAGAACAATAACTAAAGCAAGCCTACTCATCCCAGGAACTAGTGAACAGCAGATATCTGCTGCCATTTTGTTGCACTGCCACTCTCAAACATGGTAGGTAACTTTTTTTCTTTTTCTTGAGATAGGGTCCCACTCTGTTGCCCAGGCTGAAGTGCAGCAGCACAATCACAGCTCACCACAGCCTCGACCTCCCAGGCTCAGATGATCCTACCACCTCAGCCTCCCAAGTAGCTGGGAATACAGGTGTGCAGCACCAAGCACGGCTAATTTTTGTATTTTTTGTAGAGATGGGGTTTCATCACATTGCTCAGGCTGGTCTCAAACTCTTGGGCTCGAGCAATCCACCCACCTCAGTCTCCCAAAGTGCTGGGATTACAGGAGTGTGCCATTGTGCCCAGCCCATGCTAGGTAATTTTAAACCAGCAAAGAATGAGCTGGGTTTGACACAATGGACCTCACCTCTATGAGTCACAGACATGCCTTTTCCAATCTCAAGTTAAACCACATAGAAACTTCCTGTTTAGGAGGTAGTTGAAGTGAGAAGCAAAGTCAGCATATAAAGAAAGGCTAAGCTTTCATTCATATCCTTGAATGAAAACAAGCCTGTTTGAAAAATGCATTAAAAATCTAATATTAAATCGTTTCAGTTCAGAAACCTTGCTCTACTGCACTTTAAATAAACCCCCTACTGTTGTTTTGGTTTTGTTTCCTTGACCTGGGTACCAGACTGTCTTGGGGACATGCCTGGACCAAGGGGCAAGTAAAGGAGGAAAGCTGTGGGAAGCCATTTTCCGAGCATCTAAGCAAAAATAGCTAGAGGCTTCCAAGTATAAACGAATTATGGATACTGATTAACTCCTTTAAGAACCTAAAAATATCCCAAGTAACAGAGAATAAACTGAATCAAACATACTTGCATTTTCCACCAAAACTTTGGGCATACGCTGGCGGTTCATTAGGAGTGGGAAAGGATCTCTTCCATCATTCCGTTCGTGGACCTCTCGAATTTCCACCGTATCATCCATAAGATAGTAATGAATAATGTAGGTCCGACATTCACCATACATGCTGTCTGTATCATCCCAGATCGCATAAAATCGAAGGACCTTTGAAGAATCCAAAGTAGTGACTCAAGAATCTTAAAAGTAGGGAGTTCAACTTGACTACTTTGGCAATTATGTATTAATGATGAAAAGATTAGCTGGAAAGACTATGAAGTAATTTCAGTGGGGTAAATTGAAAAAAACAAAAAGAAATATTCATCAAAGATACTAAAACATCTGAAATTATGTACCATATGTCAGCAGCCAGAAATAATTAAATAATAGGATTATAAATTTGTGCCAGAAAAGAAGAGCTCACTTTGATCCAAAATATTAGTCAGTGAAAGAGAAGCTAAATTAAAAGAGCAATGAAGTTCTTTATATAGTGGTTTATAAATATTAATAAAGGTATATGTGAATATAGTATATATATAATTAGTATAAAAAAAATTTTTATTTATTAACCAGTCTTTTTTTGGTCCCATCAACACATATCTTCTAGCAATAATATAAACACAATCTTTTTTTTTTTTTTTTTGCTAGGCTTCTTCAAATCATGGGAATAAACACAATCTTTAAATACAAAATAATAACAGATATATGACCGATATGAACAAAATCCTTAAAAGACCATGCTAGTGCTAGTTTACATTTTCTGAACTAAAAGGGGTTAAATGTCTAAAGAAAAGGAACAGCAAAGAAGCACTGAGGGTGATCTCTTCCTTTTCTCTCTCCCTTTAGTACAGAAAGGAAAGGATTTAAATCTGCTTATACACATCAGCTCACAAGGGAGAGGATTAGGAAGGTTGGAACGGAGTTGGAAAATGCTCAGAACATTCTGGACTCCAATATTAATATAACATATAACAACGAAGCATCTGTAGTGGGGTTTCTGTGAAATTAAACATTTTAACATTAGAACCTACATATATGCATATTTTTGAAATTTCCCAATAATCGATTTATGGTTTCCCAAAGGAGTCTATGAAATTAGCTCATTTTAAGGGAAAGAAATTGTCAATTGGAAACGTAAGGTGGGAAGCAGACGTAGCTCAGGAATTGTTTTGAGATTTAAATGTCTGGTGGGATTCACAAAAGGACTCTGCAACTCCACAATCTTCTTTGGATCTCCATATGAAATGCAGGCATTCCTGTACCTGTAACCCTTGATGAAAGCAGAAAGACAGTACTGTGTCCCAACAGTTCAATTATAGCTGTAATGTTTCAAAATAGTTACCAATACAGCTACCCAAACCTTTTGCCAATAAGTATAGGTCACATTTGGAAATAAGTAAGCCTACTGCAGTCCCTCTGTCACTTACCTGTTTGTCAAAGGTGAGAAATTGCTTGAGTTGATCAAAGTCTGATGGGGTGACATACTTACGAAGAGGCTGTTTTCGGAGTTCGGTGTAAGGATCAAGAGCCATCTTCTCTGGTGGATTTAATTCAATTCCTTGGCTTTCTAAAAATACCTAAATAATTGAAAGTTAACAATGATCATCTTTCTTAGAGCTTTTTAGAGTAAGTTATAAACTGATGATATAAAAATAAGTGTATGGGCCAGGCACTGTGGCTCAGGCCTACAATCTCAGCACTTTGGGAGGCTGAGGTAGGAGGACTCCTGAAACGCAGGAGTTCATAACCAGCCTGAGCAACATAGTGAGACCCTGTTTCTACAAAAAAATTTAAAAGTTAGACTGGTTTGATGGCATTTGCCTGCAGTCCAGGCTACTCAGGAGGCTGAAGTGAGTGTACCACTTGAGCTCAGGAGGTCGAGGCTGCAGTGAGCCATGATCATGACATTGCACTCCAGTCTGCATGACAGCAAGACCCTGCCTCAAAAAGAAACAAAAAAAGAAAGAAAAAGCATAATCATGATTTCTATGCCATTGCTCAAGTTAAACATTAGTTTGCTGCTTGAGCGCATGTAAGCTGTATTAAGTTTCCAACTGAGCCAACTCCATAATGCAGATAATAATCGGGAGTTACCTGAAGTATTTTATATTGTTATATTGCTAGGTATTTGCTAAGCTAGTTGGGATGCACAATGGCAAAATAACTGTTTTCAATTATGAATTTAAATCAAATTTAGTTAGGTGCCTGTAACAGAGTAAGTCTTAGGATTGCTTACTTCCATATATCTGGAACCTAACCATGGTTTCAAAAAATATGTAATTCCTATTAGGTCTGAAGGCAAGCTGCACAATGGTCAAGTTAGGCTGAAATCATATTCCCAATTTTCTAATTCACTTAAAACAAATACTGTATATGATTAAGTCCCTTCCCCTCACCAAAAAAGAAAAAAACAAAAGCATACCCACTGGTTATATTAGACCAGAAAACATTTTAGCAAAATAGGAAAGACAAACCAAGTGCTCAGATTTCACCAGACATTCCCGAAAGGGAAGTGAGAAAGCAAACAACTTGGAAAACATACTTCAGGATATCGTCTGCAAAAACCTCCTCAACCTCACCAGAGAAGCCAACAATCAAATTAAGGAAATGCAAAGAATCCCTGCAAGATTCTACACAAGGAGATCATCCCCAAGCCACAGAATCATCAGATTTTCAAAGGTCAAAAGGAAAGAAAGAATGTTAAAAGCAGCTACAGAGAAAGGGCAGGTCACGTACAAAGGGAACCCCATCAGGCTAACACTGGAAACTTCTCAGCTGAAACCCTACAAGCCAGAAGAGATTGGGGGCCTATATTCAACATTCTTAAAGAAGAAAAATCTTCAACCAAGAATTTCATATCTAACCAAACTAAGTTTCTTAGCAAAGGAGAAATAAGATCCTTTTCAAATAAGCAAATGCTGAGAGAGTTCATTATCACCAGACCCGCCTTACAAGAGATCTTAAAAGGAACACTAAATATGGAAAGAAAAGGCCATTACCAGCCAATACAAAACACACTTAAGTACACAGACCAGTGACACTATAAAGCAACCACATAAACACGCCAGCATAATAACCAGCGAACAACACAATGACAGGATCAAATCCACACATATCAATACTAAACTTAAATATAAATGGGGTAAAGGCCCCATTTAAAAGGCACAGAGGACAGGTATGGTGGCTTATGCCTGTAATCCCGGTACTTTGGAAGGCAGAGGTGGGTGGATCACTTGAGGTCAGGAGTTTAGGACCAGCCTGGCCAACATGGTGAAACCCCGTCTCTGCTAAAAAATACAAAAATTAGCCAGGCATGGTGGTACACACCTGTAATCCCAACTACTAGGGAGGCTGAGGCAGGAGAATCACTTGAACCCATGAGGCAGAGTTTGCAGTAAGCTGAGATCACGCCACTGCATGCCAGCCTGGGTGACAAAGTGAGATTCTGTCTCAAAAAAAAAAAAAAAAAGAAGAAAAAAAAACTAAACAAAACAAAAACTGAAAACAAAACACAGAATAACAAGCTGGATAAAAGAAGGAAGACCCAATGGTATGCTGTCTTCAAGAGACCTATCTCACACCCAAAGGCTCAAAGTAAAGGGATAGAGGAAAATCTACCAAATAGATGGAAAATAGAAAAAAGCAGGGGTTGTGGTCCTAATTTCAGACAAAATAGACTTTAAACCAACAAAGATCAAAAAAGACAAAGAAGGGCATTGTATAATGCTAAAGGATCCAACTCAACAACAAAAAAAAACCCTAACTATGCTAAATACATATGCACCCAACATAGGAACACCCAGATTCAAAAAACAAGTTCTTAGAGATCTAAAACGAGACTTAAACTCCAACACAACATCAGTGGGAGACTTTAACACTTTCCTGACAGTATCAAACACATCTTTGAGGCAGAAAATTAACAAAGATATTCAGGACCTAACTCAACATCGGACCAAATGAATCTGACCAACCTCTACAGAACTTTCCACCCAAAAACAACAGAGTATACATTATTCTCATCAGCACATGGCACATATTCTAAAATCGACCACATAATCAAACAGAAAACAATTCTCAGGAAATGCAAAAGAATCAAAATCATAACAAACACACTCCCAGATGACAGCATAATAAAAATAGAAGTCAAAACTAAAAAAAAAAACAAAAAAACTCAAAACCATGCAATTACATGGACATTAAACAATCTGCTCCTGAATGACTTTTGGGTAAATAATGAAATTAAGGCAGAAATCAAGAACTTCTTTGAAAGTAAAGAGAACAAAGATACAACATACCAGAATCTCTGTGACACAGCTAAGGCAATATTAAGATGGAAATTTATAGCACTACATGCCCATGTCAAAAAGTTACATGTCAAATTAACAACCTAATATCACAACTGAAAAAACTACAGAAGCAAGAGCAAATCAACCTCAAAGCTAGCAGAAGGCAAGGAATAACCAAAATGAGAGCTGAACTGAAGGAAATCAAGACACAAAAAAACCATTCAAAAGATCAATGAATCCAAGAGTTGGTTTTTATTGAAAAGATAGGCCAGTAGCTAGACCAATGTAGAAGAGAGAAGATCTAAATAAACACAATCAGAAGTAACAAAGGGGATGTTACCACTGACCTCACAGAAACATAAGCAACCATCAGAGAATATAAGGAACACCTGTATGCACACACACTAGAAAACCTAGAAGAGATGGATAAATTCCTGGACACATACACCCTCCCAAGACTGAACTAGGAAGAAACTGATTCCCTGAAGAGACCAATAACAAGCCCGAAATTTAATCAGTAATCAATAGCCTATAAATCAAAAAAGACCCAGAGCCTGATGGATTCACAGTTGAATTCTACCAGATATACAAAGAAGAGCTGGTACTATTTTTTTTTTTTTTTTTTTTTTGAGATGGAGTCTTGCTCTGTTACCCAGACTGAAGTGCGGTCACGCTATCTCAGCTCACTGCAAGTTCCGCCTCCCAGGTTCATGCCATTCTCCTGTCTCAGCCCCCTGAGTAGCTGGGACTACAGGCGCCTGCTACCACGCCTGGCTAATTTTTTGTAATTTTAGTAGAGACGGGGTTTCACCATGTTAGCCAGGATGGTCTCAATCTCCTAACCTCATGATCCACCCACCTCGGCCTCCCAAAGTGCTGGGATCATAGGCACGAGCCACTGCGCCTGGCCAAAAGCTGGTACTATTCTTACAGAAAATATTCCAAAAAGTTGAGGAGGAAGGATTCCTCTCTAACTCATTCTATGAGGCCAGCATCATTCTGATATCAAAACCTGGCAGAAACACAACAGAAAAAGAAAACTTCAGGCCAATATATTTGATGAAAATCGATGCAAATATACTCAACAAAATATTTGCAAACTGAATCCAGAAGCACATCAAAAAGGTAATCCACCACAATCAAGTAGGCTTCATTCCCAGGATGCAAAGTTGGTTCAACATACACAAATCAATAAATGTGATTCATCACATAAACAAAACTAGAGACAAAAACCACATGATTATCTCAATTGCTATAAAAAAGACTTTGGATAAAATTCAGTATCCCTTAATGAGAAAAACTCTCAATAAACTAAGTAGGAGAGGTTCCAAGATGGCCAAATAGGAACAGCTCCAGTGTGAAGCTCCCAGTGTGAGTGACGCAGAAGACGGGTGATTTCTGCATTTCCAACTGAGGTACCGGGTTCATCTCACTGGGGCTTGTCAGACAGTGGGTGCAGCCCATGGAGCAGGGCAGGGCATTGCCTCACCTGGGAAGTGTAAGGGGTCAGGGAATTCCCTTTCCCAGCAAAGGGAAGCTGTGACAGATGTATCTGGAAAATCAGACACTCCCACCCTAATACTCTGCTTTTCCAATGGCCTTAGCAAACGGTACACCAGGAAATTATATCCCCTGCCTGGCTCGGAGGGTCCCACGTCCACGGAGCCTCTCTCACTGTTAGCAAAGCAGTCTGAGATCAAACTGCAAGGTGGCAGCGAGGCTGGGGGAGGGGCGTCCGCCATTGCTGAGGCTTGAGTAGGTAAACAAAGCAGCCAGGAAGCTCGAACTGGGTGGAACCTACTGCAGCTCAAGGAGGCCTGCCTGCCTCTGACTCCACCTCTGGGGGCAGGGCATAGCTGAACAAAAGACAGCAGAAACTTCTGCAGACTTAAAACATCCCTGTCTGACAGCTTTGAAGAGAGTAGTGGTTCTCCCAGCATGGAGTTTGAGATCTGAGAATGGACAGACTGCCTCCTCAAGTGGGTCCCTGACCCCTGAGTAGCCTAACTGGGAGACACCTCCCAGTAGGGGCCAACTGACACCTCATACAGCCGGGTGCCCCTCTGAGACAAAGCTTCCAGGGGAAGGATCAGGCAGCAATATCTGCCATTCTGCAATATTTGCTGTTCTGCAGCCTCCGCTGCTGATACGCAGGCAAACAGGGTCTGGAGTGGACCTCCAGCAAACTCCAACAGACCTGCAGCTGAGGGTCCTGACTATTAGAAGGAAAACTAACAAACAGAAAGGACATCTACACCAAAACCCCATCTGTACGTCACCATCATCAAAGA